ACCAAAATTTCAGCAACCATCACACCCCGAGCACCCTGGGCTGCTCACAGTCCCACTTCCCACATTCACCCTGCAAAATCCCAACCAAGAACCTGTCGGTGCTGGCACCCCGCGCCAGCTCACGGGTCAGGCTGTCAGCCTCCTGCAGTATATTTAGCACTGGTTTCGTGGGGGCTCTGTGCATTCCCATCTCCTTCACTCCTGACGTGCTAAGTAGATGCAGGAGGCAGTGAGCAGCCTGCGAGGACACCGTGCGTGGTGATGGGATGTTGGCCTGATCCCCGGGATCCCAGGGCGGCCCACACGTGGAAAGTGTCACTCTGCTTTTCCTTTTTTATTACTATGATTTTTTTTTTTTTCTTTTTTAAGAATGAATGAAAAACAAGAGAGGTGCTCAGAAAAGCCAGTTCACCCGACAGCCAGTCTGGAGACCAGCGAGGATCCGAATGTTCTGATTCCTGGATGGCTCAGCTGTAGGATGACAGAGACAGCAGCCATGAAAACTTGTCCCAGCGAGAGCAATTTACGTGCACTATTGAGAAAGCAGCCCTGAGACAAGTTCCTGTGGGTCTGTAAGGGAACAAAGAACATGGAGTTAAGGCTTCGAGTGGAGGAGAAGGTGAGCTCTCAGTGTTCTGATCGGTTTTTGCTTCTGATTTTTGCCTTCTGGGCATGTGGGAATGAGCCCCCAGAGCAACCCAACACAACTTCAGGCTCCATGCCTCCACCCAGCACTGCTGGCCACCGGTGAGGACCTGCTGCATCAAACCCTTTCATCCAAACAGGATGCATGGCTCTAAACCTGCCGTTTAGCTCCATTTGTTCAAGTGGAAAACACAGAAATCAGAGCCTCTGGCAGGTAATGCTGTGTCGGATGGGGTGTGGTGAGCACTGCGAGCAAATGGAGAGGAGAAATGGAATAGCTGGGAGATGAGCATTGCGAGCAGGGGTGTGCACCCTAAACAGGAGGGTTAACCAGGGCTTATTCAGAAGGAAGGCAGTAATTGCAGCCTGTGTGAAGCAGTAATATCCTTTTGTGCATTATTTACCCGGGAACATCTGCTAATACATATACATTCTACGGTGCATGTAAACAACCTGCGCAGGAAGAGGATTAGGAGATTTATAAAAAATTAGAAGCGAGTTAAAAGGGCAATTAGAAGAGCAGAAAGAGATATTGAGCAGTGAATTAGAGAGGATATTTTAACACACAATCAGAGCTTCCCGAGACGTATCCAGAGCAGAGAGAAGGTAAAAGAGAAAATTGGTCAATTACGCCATGATAGCGGGGAATTGGTGACATGGGAGAAGGTAATGGCTGATTTGTTAAACAGTTATTTTGATTCTGTTTGCAGAAAGGAGGAAGAGGATGGAGGGCACTGCAGGAAAGGACTCAAGCTGAGCAGATGAAACAGGGAATGAACCACGGAGAAATACAGACTTGTTGTAGAGCAGATGGATGTGGGCAGAATTTCACCCGTATCCTCCGGATGGGGGGAAAATGCATTTATTTATGTTGTTTGGATGCACAGAGCTGGCTTTGGCCCTCCAGCCCCAGAGCTATCGAGGTGGACCCAGAGACAAAAAGTCCTTCTGCCTTTGGAGGAGGACGGAGCATGTAGAAGGACAGATGGATGAACGTGCATAGCATGGTGCTAATGGTGCGTCCTCTACGTGGGGATGGAGGTGGTTGGGTTCTCGGCGATGCCACCACACCACCTTCCCAGAAACAACTTTTGTCACTGCTGTGGCCATGTGTCCTTTTGTTGTATTTGCTGTTGTTTCTCTTCCAGCCTGCAGACCTCAACATGGCAAGCCATGCAAGCATGTTTCCCATCGCTGTTCCCATCTGTACACTGGTGTTGGCCAAGTCATGTTTTACTGGGGCGAGATGCAAGGGATGGCAAAGAGGAATAATGTCATCCCACGAGATCTCAAGGAGATTGTAAGCAGCAGAAAAAGGAGATGTTCGCAAGCATGCAATGGAAAGTGTGATCTTGGGCTGAGTTTGTGGGGTTGTGCTGGAAACTAAGGCAAAATGTGATGGAAAGCATTGGTGCAGGGTGGATTTAAGGGGAGGCTGCACTTGATGGACATCAGAAATTGGTCCATCGGTCCACCACTTTGGCTAAGGAGAAATGTGAAACAATGTGTTAGTTCTGCAGTCCTTCTGAAGTGGGGAGTGCATCTCACAGCAACTTGCTGAGGCAAGGGAGGTAAATTGGAAAAGACAACGTGGGCGCACAGCGTTGTCCAGGCAGCGATGGAGAACGTGCCATGTGATGCTGCTTTCGCCTGGTGCACTGAACATTTATTCTCAATATCTGAGAAGGTCTTGGTTTTTGTCCTGCCTGGAGGATGAGAGAAACAGCGTTGCGTGTTTTGTGTTTCCAAAGCATGTAGGAAAAGCTGTGTATTAGCAATTACAGGATGAAACTGTGGAAGAATGCTACAATGGTTAGAAAATTGGCTCCGACTCAGGAAACGGGATTCTGCAGCCGTGAGCGCGTTTCCAGAGGCACAGTGTGGGGTCTCTTCTGGGTTCTCTTTCATTTATATATATATTTTTTTTTATGGGAAGGATTTGCATGAACAGCCCAAAGTGAGAGTGTTGCAGCTTAGTGATGCAAACAAATAAAAGCAGGCACACTGGTAGAGCCTTCTCTTTTCTGACCTCTTTGGAGTGCCACCTCCTCTTGTCACCTCTAGCCTAGCTCTGCTCATCCCTGCCTCCACTGAACTGAGGGGATGAGCACTTTGGGATGGGAATTTTTGGACATGCATTTGGAAATGGGCACTTTGGGATGCATGCTTTGAAATGGGTGCTTTGGGATGCATACTATGGGATGGGTTCTTTGGGATGAGCACTTTAGGAGGCATGCTTTGGGACACGCATGTTGGGATGGGCACCTTGGATGCGTTCTTTGGGATGGATGCCTTGAGATGTGTTATTTGGGGTTGTGGGTGCACTGCCTGTGAGAAGATGGGATTTCTGCCAGCCTCACATCAGCCTTCACAATGCATGAAGACAACACTGCACGAAGAGATCGTGAGAACCACACGGGAGCCAACCAGGGGCCGCAGCAGAGCTGCACCATGCAGATGGGAAGGTAGTTATTGAGGAGAAGTGTCAGAGCGTGCCAAAAAGATTTAGTTTATCCTCAGAGAGCTGTGGTTGTAGAGGAAGAATGGGCACAGGGGGGATGGAGGCCGGGGGAAGGCAGGAGGAACATCAGAAACCTGAAGTCTGTGTCAAGTGACACTTCCTATTTAGCAGTGTATCATGTCTCCCTTCTGGTTTTTAAGCAGTAGCCTTTATTGCTAGGAGTTAGAGCACCTGATTGACAAGGCTCGTAATACACGTTGGGGTTGCCTTTATTTTTCCTACATGTTAAAGGAAAAGATACTAAAAATACAATTATGACTTGGAGCCAGGCGGTTCTAATATAATTCATCTCAGAGAGGCTCCATTTTGCCTGCTGCACCCAAATCATTTATAAAACATTAGCATCTCCAATGCTGACATCTCACTCTTATATTGTAGGAGTTACACACAGACTTAAAAAAAAAATAAAAATTAATAAAGTGCTTCTCCTCTTCATTCTCCCACTGAGAGCTTTGATTTCCAGAGTACGAAGCAAAATAACTGACATAACAACATTCTCCACTTCTAAGGGACAGTGCCAGACTCATTCAGTTGCTATTGGTTATAGAGAGTAGGGCGTGAGGGAGCTATTTCGGATCACGGATTATTTGTTCTGGCTGCATTGGACATCCCTTTAGTGGAGGTTTAGAGCCCTGTAGAAGGAGAAGTTTGGATAGGAGCTGGAACTGAGAGGGATCAATGGAGCAAACCCTCCCTTCCTCTTCCCTGAATCCCTCCTGCTGTTTCCCAGGACCTCTTTTACAATTTGGTGCATCTCAACCTTTGGTTTTGCAGCTTCCCCGGGCATCTCCAGACCCCTCCAGGGGACCAGGTGTAATTGCCCCCTCCCCATCCAGTTTGAGGTCCCAGGGAGGGTGGTGTGGGCTCAGCCACACAGCATCTGCCCCAAAGAACAGTATTCATGCCCAGGGACTGCATGCTGGGAGTGCGCCCCCTGAGCTGGGATACCATCACGAAATGAAGAGCAGCCACTTCTCATCCAAGATCACTTTTATTTCCCTTGTTGCATTAACCTCAGTGTGTTTTATCTCCAATATCCACGCTGACAGGGAACTGACACCGACTGCAGAACTGGGGCAGCACCATGGGCTGCGCTGCGTGCTGCTGCCAGCTGCGCTGTGGCCCCGACGCAGAGCGGACCGGTGAGCACATCTGGACCAGTGAGTGCATAAAGCCCAGTGAGCACATCCCACCCCAGCGTCCTTGGTGAGGCTTATTTAGGGCCAAGGGGAACGTGCAGTCTGCTCCTCATCCCTCAGCTGGCCATTACCTCTTCCTGCAGCTGTCTGGGGCTATTCTCTTTCCCACCGTGGACCAGAAGCATTGGGCACAGTGCTACTGACAGGTCCCGTGCATGCTGCACTTCTCACTTCTCCAACTCCCCGTGCCAAAACCCGTTCCTATTAAGAAAAGAAAAAAACCAAACCAAACCGCTCCTGATATTGTCAGGGCCACCTGCATCCCACAGACCTGCTGCTTGAGTGAAAACCTTAGTCCAGCTATAAAGGTCCTCACGTAACCAATGTGGCTGGAAGCCTTCAGCCCCTACATCCCCGTGGCATCGGGACCAGATGCTGCTAAGCCGCCTCTCTCTCCCCTCACTCAGAAATTAGGACATAAGGGTGAGCTCTGGCTCTCTGCCTATGGTCTTTGTTGCGTTGCGTACAGCCCCCTCCCACCCCTCCCAAAGTTTAGTGCTCTAAATTGCTAAGAACATTGGTCCCCCGCGCGCACTGAGGCTGCCGGATGGCTTTCAGCATTTGTAGGCACTGCTGCCGATTGTGGTCTTGAGAAAAGGATATACTGTTCTGCTATAAATTCGACAATACAATCCTTAGTTCTGAAGATATAGTTTCCATATAGTTTATAAACATTATAAGACATACATATGGATAATTGAGGAGAGGGGAGGGCCTGTGCATTTGTCGGATTTGTTTGTTGGATGTGTGAACGCGGTTACAAAAAACGCACCTCCTCGCAGGTACTTCATCTCCTTAGGTTCTTTTTTGTGTGTGTGTGTGTGTTTTTGTTTTTCTTTGCTTTGTTTTAATTATTCCACCTCTAACCAGTCTTTCCTTTGGTAGTTGGCTACTCCAAGCCCAGCAGGCAAGCCTTGTTCTGCTGTAGTGCCTGAGATATTCAGGGTTTTAAGATTGTCTTCTAAGAGATTTCCAGCCAATGTTGGCCTGTGGGGTTGGAGCCAAAAGGGCTAAAACGTGGGAGAACCAATGTCCTTAATACAATGAGTAGAAGTGTCCACACACTCACTTTCAGAGAAACAGTGTAGGCTTAATTGGTGATTGTTTTTACAGCAATTATGTTCCTTGCGGTCCTCGGCGGGGTCGCTCAACGGGAATTTGCAATTTTCCATTTTGTCCGGCCGTCGTCGCCGGCGGTCTCCACGATCCGGTTTGGGTAAGGTTGGCTTTGTCTCGTGGTGCAGGGCTCGGCTGTTGGCCGCAATGCGTGCTAACACCTTTCCATCCGCCCGCCCGCCGCAGTCCGCGCCCGCAGACTTCTCCACGTACAAAAAAAGAAGAAGAAAAGAAACTCTGGTCCTTCGTAGACGGGTCGCAGTGCAGATCCACTCCGCCGTGGCCGAGCTCAGCGCATGATGGCCACCAAGACCAGCACAAAGGCCAGGCGCGAGGCCACGAGTCCTGCACAGCCACCTGCCGCCTGCTGCACCCCACTGGGCGTACGGATGGGCGTCCGCCGGGTGCACTTCCCTTTGCGTTTCGGGAGCCCGGTGGGCATGACGCCGAAGCTGAATTTGTGCTGATAGTCAGGCACGTAGTCGGGAAACTCGTGCCCGCTTTTGCGCGGCCCCAGCGATCCCGGCTTAAGGGTTCGGTTGCGGTTTTTGTGGCTGGTGCAGTTCTTGGCAGGGCGGCGAGGTCCCGGCCGGGCTGCAGGATGGCTGCTGTGCAAACCCTTCTCGCCACCCTTCTCCTTGGAGGAGTGGTGGGGATGGTGGGCTTTGGAGGCTCCTCTGTCTGCAGCTGAGAAAGTTTTGATCTGGTGGAGCGACTCCGAGCCCGAACAGTTCCTAAAATCTTCCGCCCTCAGCACTTTGAGGTCCTTGCCGTGCATCCGCTCGGGGGATTCGCAGATGACGTTGGAGCTGGAGCCCCGGAAACGGTGCAGCCATTCCCAGAGCGAGCGGGCCTTGCAGTCGCAGCTCCAGGGGTTTCCGTTCAGCCTGAGGAACTCGAGGGCCCCCAGGTGGGCCAGGCAGTCCCCCTGCAGCTCCGAGAGGCTGTTGTTGAACAGGAACAGGGTGGTCAGTCGCCGGAGGTCGTGGAACGCCCGCCTGTGAATCCACTGCAGCTGATTCTGATGGATGAGGAGCCTGTCCAGGTTTATTAACCCCCGGAACGTGTTCTGGTGGAGGCTCCAAAGCTTGTTTCCATGGAGAAAAAGATGGCTGAGGTTTACCAAGTCAACAAAAATGTCGTCCTGGAGGAACTCAATGTGGTTGTCTTGCAGGTAAAGGTATTGTAGGTTGTGGAGGCCACCAAAAATCCCACTGGGAAGGGAGCTGAGCCCACACTTGTACAGGTACAAGGCATGGAGTTTCACCAGCCCTTGGAAAGTGTTGGCTGCCAAAGCCCTCAGGTAGCGGTTGTCCCCCAGGTCCAGCTCTTCCAGGTTGACAAACCCCTCGAAGGTGTTGGGGTCGATGAAGGTGATGTTGTTGGAGTAGATCCAGAGGGTGACCATGGAGGGGCTGAAGTGGCCCCGCAGCAGCAGGGTGATCTGGTTGTTCTGCAGGAAGATCCGCTCGCTGTCCTCGGGGATGCCCTCGGGGATGGTGACAAAGTTGTGGGCCTGGCAGCTGACGGTCATGGGTGAAGGATAGCAGACGCAGTCGGTGGGGCAGCTGGCAGCCCCAGGCACCTTCAGCCCCAGCAGCACCAGCAGCAGCTCCGCGAGGGCCCCTGTTTGGAGAGAGGGGAGAGTGGTGTCAGGCCAGCTTTGGGGACACAGAGCCCATGTGAATTATCTGTGTGCAACAGTCCGAACATGATCTATGGGGTGTTGTCCACCTCCTCATGCTGAATCACCCCAAACTACATCTGTGCCACGCAACCACACAGCACACCTCAGCACAGCCCAAGGGTTGGGGCAATACAAGGTGGGTGTACAGGCTGGGAAAAGAACTCACTGAGAGCAGTAAGGAGAAGGACTTGGGGGGTTCTGATGGATGAGAAGCTTGACATGACCCAGCGGTGTGTGTGTGCTAGGTCAGCTGCATCTTGGGTGCACCAACAGAGGGATGGCAGCAGGGCAAGGAGGGGGATTGACCCACTCTGCTATGCCCTCGTGAGGCCCCATCTGGAATACTGCATCCAGGTCTGGACCCCCCCAACACAAGAAGGATGTGGAGCTGTTGGAACGGGTCCAGATGAGAGCCACGAGGATGCTCAGCAGGCTGCAGCTCCTCACCTACAAAGACACCCTGGAGGTGTTCAAGGCCACATTGGATGGAGCTCTGAGCAACCTGTTCTGCTGAGTACAGCCAACCTACAGCAGGGGGTGGAACTGGATGGGCTTTAAGATCCCTTCTAACCCAACCATTCTACAATTCCATGAATTCCAGAGGAGCTGGCTGCTTTCCACGCTGTTCCTACGCCCATGCCCTGTTAGCACCAGCACATTCCCCTGCAAACGAGTGATTTGCAGAAACACACTTTCAGCACTTGGTGGGACGGACCGAGCTGAACGCCCAGTTTGGAAGCTGGTGCTCAGACGTATTTTAAATGGATGTCCTATGGCAGTGCTACAGCCTGCCTGTGGCCAGGGCTTTCTGGCTGCAGAGCAGGGAAGCGAGCAGGCAGCAATCATCCCTTCTCGGCTCAGCGCCCAGCGCCAGCCTCGCCGCCCAGCTCCCGTTGCTCTCCCACTCCTCACACCATGCCTGCTTTCAGGCGATTCCTTCTGCGTGGAGTGGCTTTTCAGACTCATTGCACCAGGCTGTCATTTCTCATTCAGATTTCCTCCCGGATCTGCTTTCCCTCTTACACACAAAATTTGCTCATGTCTAATGAATTCTGCCTCTGGACTTCACGGGAGAAAGGAGTAAAATGAGAGCAGCGTACAGCTGCCAGTGCCATCCTACCCCAGAGTCCTCATGCCGCGATTTGCTTGTAATAATCTGAAAAACAAGAGTGGAAGTGGAGTTCACCTCTAATTACTCCATGTCGTTACCACAAGACAGGCTGTGGTGCTGGACCCTTTGGGCTTTTACAGTCCTTCTTTTCGAGCGCCTGCAGCTGAATATGAGTGGGAGGCAAAAAAAAAAAGAAAGAAAAAAACCTCACTGGTTTCTTATTAATGTTGTTTGAAATATAACTCCGTGGTTCGCATCGCCTTCTGCCGGGGATGGAGATCTATTACTGGGGAGCTAATAGCAGATGACCTGTCCATCTGGACCCACTCTTTCTAGGCAAAGTTGTCATGTTTTTAGATAAACTGGTTACTCAGGCTCTCATAAATTAGCGCGGAGAGGCAGCCACCTCTGACTGTACTGCTCTACTTTTTTCAAAGAATAGCAATGCTAGCCAAACTGTTGGGCCGAGCCTCTGCTGGGATGGGGATAGCAATGGGGATAGAAATACGGATGGGGATTTGGGCTTTCTACAGGCTCTACCCTGCAGGAATGAAGGCTGCAGGGAGGGATGGCTCATTCCTGCACTGCTGCCAGAAAAGGGCTGTAGTCAGGAGTGCTTCATCCGCGACAACTCCTACGGCTGTGTAGGAAAGGGAATGTTCTCCAAGCCACCACCGTGCACTTGCCATGGGGCAAGGGGCCATGATTCAGACAAGACTGCTCCTGGGCTGCCCTGCATTTCCAGCCAAGCACCTCTCTGGTGCTAGTCTCAGGGATATCCTGATTACAGTTGCAGATAGGTGCAGAATTGCTTTCTGCTCTTCTTGTTCCTTTTTAACCCACAGATACACTTTGCTGAGGTGGGACAGCTCTGTGTTCCCAGCTCCACCCGAGTCACACTGAGCCACAAAGAGTCGTGTAGCTCTTATATTTATTAGTAAAATCCTGCCAAGCACAAGCACAGTGACAATCTCCCACATGCGGAGTCTGTTATTGCAAATACCAAATCACAAGGGTTTGAATCAATAAACCATCTCCCAGCTATGAGCAGCAGGTTGGAAGATTACATATTGCTTCCCAATGCTGGTTTTATGCGCTGTTCCGTGACACGATAGTTGCCAGGCTAACAGGATTACTGGTGGGAGGAGGAGCTGGGCAGGGCTTGCGTAGCATCCCGAATTTCACGTCTAGGAGGTGATGGCAGGCGGCTGCCAGCGATGCTCAGCGATGGATGGGACGTATGGGGAGCATGGAGCTGCACTGTTGGAAGGGAGAATGGAGATTCACGGTCCCCGATGGCTCTGGAGGTGAAGGGCAGGAAGATCTGAGCCTGTCTCTAATTAGAGGTGTTAGTTAATGGCCGAAGTGCCAATGGAAGAGGAGTTGATTCCTTTGGGATGGGTGTTGCTGGTGGTTCTCCTCTTCCAGCAGGAAAGATGGTAGGAGGGAAGGCCAGGGATTTCGTCCTACCTACAGGCTGCAGTTTGGAGACAAAGAGAATGTGGAAACAAAAAGGAAGGATGCTCAGAAGCAGCGATAACGTGGTGAGCAGGACTTGGAAAGAGGAATCCTCCTCAGCGGATGTGCTCAGGGTGTGTGGTCCCATCAGGGATGAGTCCGCAGCCCACAGACCTGCAAATTGCACACTGCTATGAGATGCTCCAGGACGTCCAGGTTTGGTTGCCATTTTGATATGGGGATGAGATCCCTTGAACGAAAGAACAGAGCAGCCCTGATGCTGCTGGACCAGCTGCGTGATGGCTAAGGCAGCTGGGGCCACCTGGGTCCCTGGCTGCCATCAGTGGGACTGTCCCTCCCGGGATGATACCCCTGAGCTCCCCCAGTGTCTGATTGCAGCCAACATGTCAAGCTCTTCCCGGTGCAAACCTTTTGACTGCATCTTGTAAAGGCTGTGCAGCAGATGGAGGGTCACGGGCGTGCGTGGCGCTGCTCACCAGGGAGGGAGAGCTTCAAAAAGTAAAAATCCGATGGAAAGCCGCCAGTGAAGTGAGCAGAACCAAAGCTTTGTCGACACGGATCAAACCAACACGGCCGTGTTTGTCTGCCGGCGTTCTCCCACCGCCGTGCTGTGTCACCCGGCTCCGCTGTCCTTCTGCAGCCTCCCAGCTCAGGTTTTAGTGATGGGAATGAATTCATCGGGCTGTCCAAGTCATTTCCCATGCAGCATCTCTCTAATTGGGCATTAATTAGGCATTAGTTAATGAATGCTTGAAATAATTTATCTTTGGATGTGTCCAGTTTGCAGTCTTACTTTTAACAGCATTATACCCGTTATTAGATTAACATCGTTATAAATGTTCCCCATTACCTGCTTGTTTCCATTGTCTTAGCCTTATTACTGAGAGTGAAAATCACTCCTCCTGAATGCATTATTGATGAGTAAGGACTTTCTATATGCAGCGCGGGATTAATTGTTACACAGCATAATGCATTTAGCATGAAGCCTTCATTTGTGCAAGAGCCGAAGCGGCCAGAAGAATGCAGACGCCCAGAGACAGCGAGTTCATCCAGACACAGCAACGCTCCAGTGCAGCAGCAGAGATGCTGGCACCCGACATTCCAGCATTTTAACGCTTTGCTGAAGGAGCAGTGCCACTTATTTCCATCAGAAGTCCCCAGCTTGGAGCTGGGAGCTAGGACTGGCCCTGATGGGTCACCTCCAGCCCCAACATTTCACCTCTCTGCTATGTGGGTCACGGCTGCTGCTCCCCCAGCAGGATCTGCTCTTTGGGATGGAGTTCTCTCAAATCTCTCCTAAACCGCCATCTGCTTGGGGAGCCCAATCTTAGCTCCTGTCTCCACGCAACTTGTCCGACTGCTCTCTGCGTCCATTACCGGTTCTGCCCAGGCTGTTAGATTTATAAGCTCTTTAGAGCAAAGCCCTCATCTTCTGGCTGCTGATTTACGGGTCTTTACTGCCATAAAACACTATGTATAGCTACTACATAATATAAATAATAATACTTAACCAGAGCAAGCTACAAGTGGGGACAAAGCATCTGCCTTCTGTTCGCACTCTGTGTTATCAAAGAGGCAGAAGCTCGCTCATCACTCACTCCTCTGAAGCCAAATTCGCACTTTGTGTAGCACCACCTGTAGACAGAGAGATCTTCCTGCCCCATCTGCACCCACACCTTTCAAAGGAGCTTTTTAAGTTGTCACTGGGCCACAACAACACAACTGTGACCCGAGGGGAAAATACACTTCAAAACTTCCATCCTCCACCTAATAGCACCCGCTTTCATGGGCTACGTCCTTCCATGAGGACAACTATCATTCTGAGGAGCCACTGCCATCACCAGCTCACCTCAGCCACCCCCTGCATTGGACAAACCATAGTAGGATGGGTCTGTGGAGGATTCTCGTTGGATAACCCAACCGTCACACGGTTCTTTGCCTCACACTTCTTACTCCCTTTTGTGATGGCAGGAATTGCCATCATCCACCCAACCTTTCTTGGCGAATCAGGCTCAAACAGTGCTCTTGGTACTGTGTGCAACTGCAACAAAGTTCCCTCCCCCCTCCGCTTCAGAAACGAACTTTCTCACCACGACAAATTTGTTTGGGGGGAAAAAGGAGCCTCAAATGTTCATAATTCCCCGCACCAGCTGAAGGACGACGAAAGGCAATGCCTGAGCACAGAGCGCCACGGGGCGCGAGCTGAGAGCGCAGTTCAGATCTGGGACAGTTCGACACAGCAGTGTCAGACTTGTGGTTGGGAGCTGCCTATTTTTTTCCTTCTTTTTTTTTTTTTTCTTTTGCAATAAACAAACCATCCCTGACTGTGACAAAGATCAAATTCCCCTG